TGACAAACCGATGGAAAAGAATTATGTCGACGTGTAAGGGTTAAAAAAAAAAGAAAAGAGGGAGAGAGCAATTAGAAGGGGTGCTGGGGTTGGTAGAAGGAACCACTAATTAGAAGGCCTATGGAATGGCCAAGTCAAACAGTCTGCTCGGGGCAATTCCAGCCAACCGCCTAGCGCCTTACAGTCTTTATTCTGATAACGGCTCCCTCATTGGTCCGATTCTATTGTTCTGTCACTGCTAAGTATCCCTCTATGGGTTCGTGCTCTCAATTTGACACTTCCATGGATATTTCGTTGAAAGGGGAAAGGTAATAACTAAAACAATTTTAGTAAAAATATAAATTGAAGGGTTAAATAACGTTAACCAAAATTGTTAAAGAAAACTTTATGTCAAAATGAAACATTTCCTGTTATTTTTAGAGACGACAGGTGGCTAAATTGTTGTTGCTTTGGTAATTTTATGAGATCATTGAATAGAATTCCAAAATCAATTCAACTACAGAATTTCCTCCCCAAGTTTTATTTTTGAATATTTCATAATTTATTTCCGACTGTAATCCATTTCTCTAACACCATACTTATTCATAGAGAAGTTTTTATTCTACTTTAATACTTTATTTTCAAAAATTTTAAGACGTTGCTTCTCCCTCGATGTAAGCGGTCACTTTTCACATCCATAAAGAACCTTAGGTAGGATAATGATTTTATATATTTTGATTTTCAAGTTTCGAGACCGGAGACGCGAATTAAGTAGTTTTGTCACAGAAAACTAATGGACATTTCCCGCTATAAACCTACTCTTAATCTACTCTTCCATTTCGTTTTTTCTGGTTATCGTAGATATCAAGTATGAAAAATTATCTATGTGTTGAAACATATTTCCTTCTACACAGGTATCACCGAAATTGTCGCGATTTTTGCAGATAATCATATATTTTGTCTTGTCCATATTTATTTCGACTTCCACTTCTTAACCTGCTTTAGTTTCCATGCCTTCGTTTAAGAGGAATAGAGCTTTTTTTTTTAGCATACCGTTGTTTACATCTCAAACTATATCCACTGACTATATCGAACTGTATCGAAACTATATCTAACTGTATCCATTGAGTAATGAAGAAGTACCATCGCATAGGGTAGTGTATACAATGAAATTTATTTAAATTAAAAAATATTAATTTAAAATGGAATATGTAAATACGAATTGATATGATGACATGGGCAGACTTATCCGGAAACGACCCATTACCAGGACTTCAATAATAGTTCTTTATTAGTCCTGCCGTTTCAATATAGGCATTCCATGGCGTGTTTTCCAATCTCAAAAATTGTTTCTTTGAAATCTCTGTGCTTTTGGTTTTATCCACTCCTATTCTAGCATGGCATTTCGGTCCAAATAAACGTGAATCTCTTAGCCCTTGAGTTTTTTTACGATTTACCTGACTATTTCTAATGGTTTATCCCAGAAATAACCATCCTATAGTAACAGAGTAGAATCGTCAATATATATACATATATATATATATATATATATATATATATATATATATATATATATATATATATATATATACTGAAAATTTATACTGAAATAAAGCAGAAACTAAAACAACTGACAAATTGGTTTATTTAATTGCGAGTAAAAGTTACAGAAACATGAGATTTCCATTTGTAAATATAATCAAAAGTTTCATAGTTTACTAAAATGTTCGAATGATCCTTGCAGTGTGAGCAGTAGGACTCGTAATATGTGTCTCGCACCATTCTAGTAGCACTTCACTCTGTCAAACGAGCGGAGCCATTGACGTGAAATATGCTATAAATAAAGCAAAACTAAACATAGAGTGATCTATACAGTTCAATCAGGCAATAATTGAGCTGTGGTAGTAGGTGAGAGTCAATGAACTGTTAACGGAAGCTCTTTAGCTGCGGTGACCGGAAGGGCGTGAGTGGGCAGAGCTGTAGGCCGGGCGATATATATGAGAAAAAGGTCAAATCAAAGCGAGTACATGAAATAAAAAAGCTCAGGTATGGTAAACATTCAGTGTCACTTAGGAAAGTTGCTCTAATAGAAAAATCACACATATATGTATACATACACATATATATGCATGTATGTACATATGGGAGAATAGAGAAGAGGAGGGTAGAGTGTCACTAAATATGCATGGAAAAGTCGTCCAGTGGAGAATATTTTTCAAGTACTACTTCACAAATGTCGCACCTCTTTGATGGATAGCCAAAGATCTTACGGTCTTACTACAAATGGGATCTCTTGAACTACCGAGTATTGAGAACATGTTCAAGGTATAAGCTCCCTTTATTTATATTTCAACTTATGACTTCCGCAAACCTTCAACTGCTCAATTGAAATCAGGACTATTTGTAGCTTTAATTACTTCAGTCCTTTCGATTTCCGCTTGTTCAAAAAGGATAACAAATATCCAAATGCCCTATTTAGAACAACCTTTGTGTACCTGAGGTTTTGGTCATATCCGTGTACTTTCAGATGCACTGGACCTTCTCGTAATTCCATTAATAGTATCATCAAGAGATCATGGGCCTCTCCTCAAAGAAGAGTTACAGTAGTACCTTACATCCATTCGATTTGGGAGAAGTTCCAGACGAAACTAACTTCCAGGTCGCACGGAAAATTATAAAATAACGAAAATTTCGTTTTAAAAGTAATCTTTGGTCAGGAAGTTTAGGAATCGAAAACGTCATCAAAACGAAAGCTTATCTTTTTTTTTTTATATTTATCTTCCGGATATTTGTTTTAAAACTCTACGAGTTATCATGAAAACTGTTAACGTTTGCATACACTGTCTCTCCACCAAAAATCCATTTCATCCGAAAGGAATTTTTCCAGAGGTCATACCGAGGGACTTTAAAGATAAAATATATTTTATCTTCTCATTTAAATATTCTATAGTAATTGCCAAATTAAATTACTTAATTTTTAAAATATTTACTTAATAAAAGTTTCATTATCGTACGGAAGAATCTGAATTAGAGAATCCTTCATTTAATCCGTCTGTACCAATTACATCTTGACAATATATACCTAAACCTTTAAAATATATTCCTATACCCTTGAATTTCTAATTTAAAAAAAAATAGTAATGAATCTTTTTGGTTGAAGCCTGGATTTCGTGAGGGAGAGAAATCGCTTCTATTTTACATTAAATCGCAACAGACAGCCTTACATAACAAGATTGAAACGAGTAACAAGGTTTCAATAAACTTAAGTATCAAATCTTCTACATCAGATTTGTTAAGTTCGCAATGTTACTTGACATAAATAAGTTTAAATGATCGGTGCAATGAAGATCATAAATCCGATACATATAAATTGATTTGTAAAAGACAATATTTATTATGGAAGTATATTATCCGCATTATTAATATCTTAAAATGGTAAGAAAATGAATAGCAAGGTTAATTTCCAAATAGGTTATAATATAACATTACAAACAATCTACAATTACCACATCAAAGTTGTAAATTTGCATCTCTTTAAATCCGAGAAATCGGAAAAGTCATACAAAACTTTTAAATATACTTGGTTATCTGTTTCAGGAATCCAGTAATATTTAACGTTGTATTAATCAACTCAGTGTGAAAATTGGGTTTAAATCTTTTGACTTTATACAAGAGTTTTAATTCTTTTTTTTTTAACGCGTGTCAGGATAAACACGGATTAAGGAGTTGGAGGTCCGAATTCATTAGAATATCAGTTAATTTTTAAATGGTTAATTATAAACAGATTTAAGAAGGCTCTAACTTTAGTAAAGTACTATTTAATTCTATTAGAGTAGGGTTCTTTTATACAGAGCCTTAAACAGCTGTTTTATATTTAAAGAAGAGCTCCTGTAACTTAGGCTGGTTGCGGAGCCGGCCCCTGAATTAATGACAACCCTGGCCGCGGGTTTTATATAAAATATTTGCCACCGACCCACCGCCATCTTACACGCAGCCCTATTCCACATTTATCCGGTTCTCTGCTCTAACTGTTTCTTTGTAGTTGCCGGAGCAACATCTTGGCCATACGTGTGCGCGACTTATAATGGATGAGGTCGTTTCACACTGAATAGAAATATTATCGGATTGAATTAATGATGATTTGTAACTCATAACGTAAATTCTCAGTTATGAGCTTAATCAAATATACGAATTAAGCAAGTCTCCATAAGTTGCGTTGTGATTAGCTCAGTGTTTTAAATATCTAAAAAATATCACTCACATTACATGTAGAAAAAAATACAACCATAGGAACTTGGGCCTATGACCTGAGGTCAGCCTACACATACTCCACTCCACCGCAATCTATGTCTACCTCTTCCTCATATATATCATGCTTTGGAATTCAAGCTGTCTACATAACAAACTTATTCTTCTATAGATTTCTGAATAACATTGTTTTGTTTTGTTTATTTCAAAATTTGTCTCTGCATCCATTATTAGAGATGAACTTGGGAGCTTCTTGAATTCACATTCCTTCTTAAATCAAGAAATACATAAGTACAAATATGAGACTTGCAATTCACAGTCTACTGTTTGAATTTGTCGCTACCTCGAAACCAATCGCTAAATTGGTTCCGATTCAGAAAAAGGGTACTCCCGAACCCTTTGTTTAAACTGCACAAGAAGTTATAACAGAAAAATCAAATTAAGTAAATTTTGCTTTAAATAAACTTCTATCTACCAGCTGTTTTTTTCTCTAAAGAGGATATCCGGACCTGAGGTTCACTTTATTGTGGTATACAGAATAAAAAGCTACCCTACTTCCAAATATAATATATATATATAATTCATGATTTTACTAGACCTGACTAGACATAAAAGTCGTCCTCTCTAGGAATAGTATTGAAATTATGCTAGCTGACAAACAGGCCATCTAGCAGTTGATGATAAATTCCCAACGCTAAAAGAGAAGATATATTGCCAAGACCCGGACGACTCGAGGGAATAAGAACTTATCCATAAGCTGTCATGCAATATAAATGAAGCAAACAGAGCTAAGAGGTCGCTATAGAGAAGCGGCGGGAAGAAGGAAGAGATTTGTCAGAGCTGACAGATACCTCGCTGTCCCCCGGCCGTCGCCTCTGGTTCCATCATCTCCGCGTCCTGTGTCTGCGGCGGTAACGGCATAAAGGCCTTGTTTAATATGGGTAACATAAAACGGTTCGATAAAAAGCTAAATTTTACAAAAAGAAACGTGAACATAACAGAAGGAAACATATTTTTTTTAATGTATAAAAATTATTATAATATATTTTTTTAGCCACATGCGGCCTCCGTGACGTGGGTCATGAAAGTTTAATGAACGCAGGTAATTACTAAATTCTACACTTAGGTATAGCGAGTGAACAGCCTTTTTTTTTTTTTTTTGGCAATGGAATTTCCCAATCCTAAAATTTCATTTTAAATATACTAATTTATTGAATACGAGTATTATGTGCAGGATTTAAAAGCGATAATTATTTTTTTCCGCAAAATCATATAAAAATTAATTATACTTGATTTTAATTTATAAATACAAATTTAAATCGATCTTTGATGTTTATTGATTTTATTTAAAACAATAATTACTCACTGAACGATGCGGTTTTATATAAATAAAAATTCCGCGGGGTGACTTTCTGGTTACATTTATCACATTTAAAAATCTTTAACTCCAATGAGCTGTACGTATAGTTTCCATAAATCATGATTTAATTTAACTTTAGAGAAATTTTGACGATGCCTTTGAATTGAAATGAAATTGAATTCAAAGAACCAAAACTTATTTGAAATTTTCAGTAAATTAAACTTATAGAATATGCCTGTGAAAGTCTCCTGATAATGGTATTTTTTTTAATCATCTAGAGTAATATGTGTATGGCAGTTTGATGTCTGTTAAATGGAATGCATTAACATGCAGGTGTTAGCAAGACGGTCTACCATATCATATTACGGAATTCCCATGCATTGACTCACGTAAGTATTATTTGCTTTTTATTGTATATTGCGTAAATGTATTCTTACTACGTTACGTAAACAAAAGTAGTGAAGTTCAGTTCTTCACCTTGTAAGAAGACTAATTTAAATTTCAATGCATTATCTAATTGGTAATGTTTGCCTTAACTATTAACTCATTTTTTTTTCAAAAATACGAGGTATTTTAAAGAACAAAGACAAGTACAAAACATATATTTTTTTTTTTTTTTTTTTTTTTTTTTTTTTTTTATTACCCTCCAAAATGTTTATTGAAACAAGCAAAACATATCCGATTTTACATTAATTTTTAGATGCGATATAGGATTTAAAAATTACGAGATTCAGATTTGATTTAATAAGAAAACAAATCTATTAAACAAATATATAAAAGGAAAATCATATTGACAAAAAGACAATCTCTTGGGTTAGTAGCAATTGAAACTGCTACAGGAGATAAAACTTAATATATCTCTTTAACCTGAAGAGAAACTACTAATATAAACTGTTTTAAAACAATTAAACCAAATAATTAATTTTTCTTTTTCATTTTCAATTTTTCTGAACACTCTACCTGCACATACCTCTACAAATAAGTGCGAGATTCGAGGCCGTTGCAGAAGAGATTTTGAAGGCGAAATAACCTTTAAAACTTCGAGTTAAACTAAAAAAGTATTCCATATTTTCTCTTTTTTCATTCCACCAAAAGAAGTTGGATATGCATGGTGTCTAACTGGTGCGAAAAAATACTACGAATAATTTCGTTTTATTTTATTTGCATGAAAGTTAAACAGTTCAAGTTAGAACATCATAATAGGACGATTACGAAACTTTTTCCTGACCCAGGAAGCCGAATAGTGCTAAAGTTTGATGGAAGACATTATTTAGGACATGGCCGAGCTGAAATATAAAGGAACCAGGCTCCAGGGGGCAGCTGAAAATTTAAATCCTTTGGCCGGCCTGAAATATTCACACGAGTCCGGAGTTTATACGGCTCAGCTGCGCCCGCCAGTGAACTTCACCACCTGTCCGTATAAACTTCTGACCGTCACGCTGCGGCAGGTCCAAGGGGTGGCAAGGCGGGGGTCGTTTCACTTCAATATCAACATTTGCTTTGCAAACATGTCTACTGATAACTTCAACGCAATAAACCTTCAGATTTACATAATTACAACATGTTGTTATTAGTAGTTAAATGTGTTAAGCAATAGGTAAATTAATCTACCAATCTGCAATCATTCATTCCAAACTTCAACCAATTGTAAAATATTTCTGTTAGGTAGTGTATCAATTAATATTTAAAAAAATGTTATTACAATTTATTATTCGTATCTCATTTTTTTTTTACATTTACTGTTATATAGATATTGACAAATAAATATTTTAACTTTGAGTAAATGACTGTCCGGCTGGAACCGTATAATATCCGAACTGCTACTATAAGGTTTATTAATATTTTATAGAAAGCCCTCAGCCAATCTTCTCCAGCGTGTAAGAGGTATAAAAAGGGACTCAACCAAGCCAGCAAGGGTAGCGAATGGAATATGGGTTTATGGTGGCAGTAACCATATTCATGGCTTTTGTATACCAGTAGCTGTTTAATATTCCCAGGGTGTTATGGCTAGTGTAAACCGAGTGAGGCATTAGTTAGCCTGCAAGATGAGGACGTATAACGTTTAGCAATACGTAGCTCTCGGGCTTAGCTTAAAGTTATTAAAACGTGATGTTAACGTAAATAACGTTGTTTTAGTTTTGTGTATAATATTCATATCTAAAATATGAGTAACTTAAAAAACAAATCATAACTTTCTTTAGTAGTTATGATCATAGAGTTAGAAACATCGTATAAATTTAAATGGAGAATTCCCAGAGGTTGACCAAATTGGACTGAATATTGTAAATTGTAGAAATAATATCAGAAAGATTGACAAAAAAGAAAGAAAGAAGGAAGACAAGGAGTATTTAAATTCCAATGATTCCAATTCTTAAGTAGTCATGAATTATAATTTGAGAACACAATATTCCATTTTTTGGCTCCAGATCAGATTTACCATTGCAAATATATTTGGTCAGATTTACCAATATTTGAATGATCCTAATATAGCACCATAGGATGTTGGCGAAATATAGATATACCGATATTTATGACTGAAATTTTATATTCATATTAGCATTTGTCTCTCGAAAATCGATATTTCAAAAATTAATAAACAAATTTTACAATAATAACTACTTTACTGTTTATAACATAAAAATTGGTTATTTTAAAAATAAATGAAACAGAAATATTAGGAAGATAGAAATATTAAATTAAAACATATTTTTTTTATAGATTTCAATCATAATGAATTCAATTTAAATTTTCTTCCTTTTTTTTAAATTTTATTATATTAATTTTGCTGCAATTTTATTCATTTTTCACAGTCTTTATGTTATTATTTTTATGCATATTAAATTACTTTTATTTAATTTATTATAATTGCATATGCTCTTTTATCAGTATTATTATTGTCCGTGATTGAGAAGGAATAAAATAAATAATATTGATTTATTTTCATCATTAGATTTCCAGATAAAAATACAACTCTTATAATATGAACGTATGAAAATCTCTAATAATATATTTTTCACTGGAGTGATCTTGTTATTCTTTCTCTATACTTCGGTTTCTTCAGAGTTTTAACTTTAAGACAATTCATTAATAATATCGGAAACAGACTAAAATTATAAAGATACATCATCAAAAATGGTTAAATTATTACTTTTAGTATCATTATAAGAAAGAAATTCATTATAAATTCATTGAAAGAAAGTCATTATAAGGAATAACAGTATTGTCTTAGCTGAAATTTGATATCCCTGTGTTAATTCAAGAGAATAGAATACCTTTGAGTACAGCTCCACCTGGTTAGCCATGCTATTGAAACTTATTATAGTAATGATTATTAAAAATGAACATTATAAAATTAAATTTTTATATTCGCGGAATCTTTTATATCAACACCATACCACGTTTTTGGCCCATGTCTAAAATAATGGCACGTTTTATTTCATTCCAAACAGGGTTTGAAATCGATAATTAAAATAATCAAAATAAAAATCAGATCTGATCAAAATTTTTATCTGGAATTTATAAAAATCATTTGCTGATTTTTATTAAAAGCAAGCTTTGTTTTTGATCATAAGTGATAAAATTCATATCCTATTATTATTTTAGAATATAATTTTTACAATTAACAATAATCGTAATTATTGAGTAATACTTTTTTGAATCAACAATATAATTTTTTTTGTATTCTCTGATATATTTTTATAAATATTTACGGTAAACTTTAACTTTTTTCACTTTTCTGGTCAAAATATGCACTATGTATACATAACCTGTAGAATATACGATATAGTAAAATACGAGCTGTTAAGATCAATAACGGCAGTTACTTTTTTTATATTTCATAAAATGGAAAAATATTTGTTTTGATAAATGTATGGAAACTATGTTGAAGATTGATACTGTCAAAGATTTATGTTTAAGGAATATATTTTTACAGCATCATTCATGGTTTTCAATCATATGAACAATTTTTTTCCACTATAAAAATACTTAAGATAAATCACTATCATGGAAAATGTAAAAGTATCAAAATCATCACTAGATAGATTTTTTAAAAATATTATTAAAATAAGAACCCCTAACAAGCAAATAAAACTTAAGACAAACATTTTTCAAATTTCTCCTGCACCCTACAATCTCCCTCCAAGGTTATAGGTGAATGGATTATAAATATTATATATATTGGAATTCCGCCAATGGCCAAATTCTCCTGGCTTTTAATAAAAAAGTGATGCAGATGAGAGAGAAGCGCGATTTCCCTAATTCTCGTTTTTCCTTTTACTCAGGTCAGGCACAAGACTGGTTCGGAGTTCACCTGGCTGATTTTAAATAGTGTTTATACGTATATCTTTTAATAATAAACATTTAATATGTTTATTTCAATTTTAATATGTTTTTATGATGTTTCCTATTGTTTTTATTCTTATGCATTATATTGTTAGTTTAAATTTATTTATTTATTTTTATATAGATTATTAGATCGTTCTTTATTATTTTTACTTCACGTTTAATTTCATTTATTTATTTTTTTATTATTAACTGATTTAAGTTAGAAAGTAACTTATAATTTCTATCGTTATTTTTTTATCATGATTATTAAATTACTCTATATTTTTGTTTATATACTCCTTGGCAGACATTTCTGTCTTTCTGTATTATTCTAAAGGGACTCATCCCAGAATAAATAAAGCATTATTATTATTATATATTTTGGTAAATATGATCTTACATTTCCATCATAATTGTTCTTAATTGAGACAGAATTTAGTATTTCTCAATAAAGAAGTTTAATAAAACAAAAAAAAAACAATTTTAATCTATACAGAAAATACCTAACTTTGTCAAAATAACTTATCTGTAAAGGATTAAGTATATACTACAATGCAGAGTCTTTTCAATCCAGTGAAGTAGTCATTTATATTTTGTTCACAAAACTAAAATATTTTTTTTATTTTTATAATTCATATTTAAAGTTTCCTCTGATGCGAGAAATTTTAATATTGCTTGTCGTATAAAAACCCATAAGGTATTATTTATATTTATAACTTATCGTCATAAAATAAATAGTGTTTATTGCCTTTGAATATAGAGAATGATGCTGTCAAAATAATAGCAGAATAAACAGCATTTAATATGAGTACATATTATGAGGACCGTTTCAAAAGCTTCTTACAATTGTTTACCTGGAGAATGGGAGCGATGAAAATCCGACAAGCCACAGTGGCGCTTTGGTTTGTAGGGCTTCTGCTTAGCAGTTAGAGGGCTTAGATCACCCTCGCGCCCTTTCAATAGGGGAGGGGTTCCCCTTCCCTTATATCAGGCATTAGGGCCCATTATTCTCCGATATTCATACCAAAAAAAAATTATTAAAATTTTTCAAAGATTGTACGACTTCTGATGCTATAGATATAGACCCGTAGATATAGTTTCTAAGTTACCTTCACGATAATTCTCTTTGCCACTCCAGCGGTAGCATCATGTTCCATATTCCCTCCAAAGTAATTTAGATCCCTTGACCTCCCTAAGACAGTTTCGAGTCCACGTCCCGGCAGTATACTGGTCACGTACACACTCCAATAGAGAGTATTCCTAGTTCTATCCCGACCTTAGAGGGCTAATTCGATCAGTTTATCGAAATTATAAGGGCGTAGGTTCCCATGATACAAAATAAATATTAGGTTGTATATTTTTATTTATATATCATTAAAAAAAAAATTCAAATGGAACATTCACACTAAAATAGAAAAAAAACAAGAACTGATCAGACGATACAAACAAATGTCACATCTTTTGGACTACAGATCTACACTCAACTTACTAAAAACAAGCGACTAATCTACACCAACATACTAAGACCTATTTGGACATACGGAGCAGAATTTTGGGGTCCCGCCAAACACGTACACATAAACAAAATTCAAACCACTCAATCCAAAATACTTCGTGAAATCGTCAATGCTACTTGGTTTATTTCAAGTCACACCATACACAAAGACATGAACATACCAAAAGTAAAATCCTACATACACAACAAGTAAACAACATTTCATTCTTCTACTCTCAACGATCAAAATCCACTCGTTCTATCTCTATCTTCCTCCCTGTTAGCTGGTGAGCCTCAACAACGACTAAAAAGGCAGCCTAGAGACTTCTGCTGACAAGTTAAGAAAATATCAAGAATACAAGAAGATAGAATAAATTCCAACACATTTTCTTGGTGCTTTACAACGCAGTGGTAAATTTAATGGAAAATATCATTAATAATTTGAATCGACAAGGAAAAAAAAATTTACTCTTCTCCCTTCAAAAACTGAATTATATAAAAATAGAATTTAAAAATCCGTTTCTCAGAACGGTTTAGAATTATAAAAAGCTATTTACATTTTGTCATCGTTTATTTCGTTATTTATTATAAATAATTTTTAAATTGATTTTTCTTGTAGTATAAACAATTAACATATATACGTGAAACATACCTACGCAATATTAAGAAATTTATTTTAAAAAATATAAAACAAGATCAAACTACAATAAAATACTCGATTTCAAATGACATTAACAAATTGCTTATAACAATTAAATACAGGATATTCAATATCAAACTTATTGAGGTTTTAATCTATAAATTGTGAAGGTTAATTGTGCTGAAGAATGGAAGGGTCGTAAATCCGGTAGTAATTGTAACTTAGGACGCGGTCAGCAGTTCACTAGTTTGCAATCCAAATCCCCGATCATTCGCTTCGTTGCTATATTAATTTATGTTCATTAGAAACCTCATCTGCCAGTTGATATTAAATTGGTGATTCAGATATTTGAATCCAAATGATGTTGAATTTAAAGTTAAAATTAGGATAGAGGAGAGTCACATGACCCTGATTGACCGCCAAAAAACCAAAGATTAAAACAGAATAGAGGATTGATCAGTAAGCCATAAAATATATATGAAATACTGTA